GTTCAGCAGTAATATAATGCGGCTTTTATGAGATCTGCTTAAGGGACTAATGGCAGCATGTCTTTTTGAGTTTGAAAAACTGATGCAACAACCTATGTACCTCTCCATAGTTAGTGGTAGAAGAAACAAGACGACCTTTTATCCACTGGGGGAGCTTAGTGACTGGGTGAGCAAAGCTCCATTTCGAGGAATCCGATGCATACCTTGTGTCAACCAACAAAATTGCTGCATAGTCATTAATGTGACGGATTGCTCTACCTGAAATCAATAAACATACATTTATCAGTGAAAGGATAGGGGGCAAACCCATTAAGATGGGCACACGTTGAAGGTAGAGACTGCACAACTGACAGAAAATCCAGTAAAATATGGACCCTGGATTTCTTCCTCTAAGAAGAAATTAGGCTTAATTGCATTCTGTCCCAGATATGCAATTTTGTAATTTTGGTTTCAGTATCAATTGTGACCCAAGCTTTATTCCATTTTCCATCAAGTACTTCCATCCTAATTGCATCCGATATTTAATAGAATTTAACTGAAAAGACAAACTTAGCATGACTAAAAAACAATGTATCAACTAAAAAACACATAATATTTAAACTTTAATGACCTAAATAGGTATTTTGATTGTTTTGCCTTAATTGTCGTGTTGATAATTCTTATGGATAATTTATTATTTTCTATGACAAATATTTTTCCATTCTGAGCAAATTAATATCTTAAATATTGGATCAAATCAAAATGGAGTGACCAGATTGTAAATGATAGAAAACTTAAAGAGAACAAATCGATGCAATTAGAACATAAGAAATCAAAATCACATAATTGAGGAGTGACAGCGACACTTCCCTAACACTCTTTACTATCACCCTAAATTTATTGGAAATTATAAATTTAGTGAGTCCTACATATCATTTAATGAATCTTGTTCTTGCTTTGGTATAAGATGTACAAAAAATTTTAATTTTCAACCAATAGTAGAGAGTATTGGCAAAAACATGTTAGATAGGGTGTCACTAGCATTTTTCTAAGCAATTTAAACCTATGAGATCCTATGAAAAGTGGAACGCACCTATTGATTGATTTACAGCTTTCATGCAGAGATTCTCATAGTACTCTTTTCCTCTGTGACTGCAACTTCTTAAGATGTCAAAACCACCTTTGACATCTCCACTGTATAGATCATAACTGGCAGAAAAGCTAGGATTCTCATGGAGCTTTAAATTTTGAAAACCTTCAATGTGCTTTATCCTCTCCAACAACTCGATGTCTGACGGGCTAGCATATGGCAGTCCAACCATGACTATACATCGGCCCATCCCATCACTTAAGTTGATCCCCTCAGATAACTTCGCACCAACAACAGCAAGGAGTATTGCACCACTATGAGATGATTGGTTCACTTCTGAATTCATACCCGATAATGTATCAATGGTATCTTTATATTCCTTGAGTACAGATTCAACATCCATGTTATTTCTAGGCTCCCTAAAGACACGCTTCCTCTTTGAAATCCTTTCAAGGATGCCAGATGACTCCCAATTTTCGTAGACTCTATTTTCGTAATCGAAAGAAGGAAAGAAGACTACAATTCCTTCGGGAACAACAGTCACCAAATTACATAGCAAAAGACCCAGTTCTCGCATCTATGAAGAACAAGATGCAGCATAATCAATCATTTTCCACAATTATTATTTAATAGAAATTAGACTGAAGAATGATAGATGGAACAATGACCTACTTACCATATCTGGTGAGCTCCTGGAGGTGAAGCTGAAATCAAAGCAGCGGCCAGTAGGTCCACGCAGAACTGAAATTGGCATGATGCTATCAGGAGGGACAATATGACCACATGAAAAGAAATGCAACTGATTTGATGGTAACCACGGAAAGAGTCGCTCCCTTGTCTCTTCTATAGGTTGAAGCGTTCCCCCTACTAATACAACTGCATGTGCTTCACCTACAATCTAGATAAAGTTTCAAAGTTATTTTCTTGTACATCATCTAAGCGGAAGAAAAAATTAACATACAGATATAAATTCATTTCTAATTAAGGAATCAGTATCAGGCAAACCTCGGAGAAAATCTTCTCTCCACTGAGCATAACATATTTCATATATCCTCCTTGCTTCCTGAGGCTCGTTGATCTAGACCTGGAAATTATTATCCTTCCATCACCATCCTTGTTTGTCAGTGATAGTAATATGCCAGCTAAGGCTTGGAAAGCAGACACACAGCTTCCCTCCTCATCATGTTCCCCGATTTTATGGAGTGCTGGTATCTTCTCCAAGGTAGCCAACATTTTTCCATAACCACTAACCTGGAAAATCAAGTAAATTTTCATATCAAAATAATAACAGAAAATTCAGAAGCATCAGGTGCCATTCTGTCGGAAGAAAATGTATATAGTAAGTGGCAATATTCACCTTGTGCATGATATTACTATCCTTTATATACTTTAACAGTTTGACCAGGTTGATATTGTCTATATTTAGTTCAAATAAAAAATCATTGATGGCCATAGTAAAATCAGAAGCTCTACTCTCTACATCAGAAGCTCGACCTATATCACGGCAAAACTCTATAAGATTTCCATCTTTTTCATCGAGTAGTACTCGGAGAAAAGCTTGTGTCAGGAACATCAGAGTTTGAATATATCTCCTATTAGCAGGTCCCAAAAGATTCCGGAATCTCAAAAAGTACCGCTCCACATGGCAATGCACAGTCTCCAGCTGTAAAAATAAAGGAGAACAATCATCTAAAAACTAGTGAAAAAATCAAAAAACTAGACATCCTAAAGATGGGTGTAAACAATAAATAACAAATAACTTGCGTGACGTCTGCAACTAAAGCTACACTAATTTTCAGATAGAGTTCTGAATTTCAAGCTGTATTAAGTTGTAACAACTAACAACTATGTCCCCTACCCCCACATACACAAAAAAAATAGAAGTATAAAAATGAAAAATCGCCTATACAAAAGCAAATTGCAAGTGTATATGATGGAAACCAGCTTCAGAAGTAAAACTTTAATCAAGGTAGATATAGAAATAACAAGCATACCTGTGATACAGTAATTGTGGAGTCATACATGTTGATGAGTGAATCAGCTAAATTATGAGCCTCGTCTATTATAATAATATTGGATTTCAAATTCAAACCAAGTGCTTCACGAGATGATTTAGACAGGAGAGATTGATACGGTAAGACCACAAGATCAGCTCTCCGAACCATGCTTCTAGAGCCATAGTATGGACAAGTTCCCATGGTTCTTCCAAGATTTGCAAGATCTTCAATATCCAAGGGCCCTTGCTGAGTTACCTCATTCCTAAATTCTTGTTGTACTTTATGTTTTCTAAGCATTGGGCAGCCAGTAGAGGCCTTTGTCCTGCGTACCCCTGAACCTATTTTTAAGTTCTGCAAGTTCGATTCACCATTGTTCAAGAAATATTAGCCTCTACACTCTACTGCGTTCTTTAGTCAATTTCAAAAGTTTTTACTAACAGCTGTAGATCATAGCCTAAAATTCAAACTTGACGCACCTTAACTTTTGTAGCTTCATTTTTCTTTTTCTTCTGGAGTTCCAAGCATCGCTCATTTATGCGTGTGGAGTTTCCAAGTGTAACTACTTCTGGAAAGCACGCAACAAATCATGGGTAAAATATAAGTATTACCAGCAACTTCAGCTTCAACAAGTGAATTGAAAAAGGAGTATCCAAGAGAAGTAAACCCCAAACCTTCATTAATGCAAAGATTTTTCCTGGAGCCTAAACTCACAACATTCATCTCATCAGCAAAGACCGTCTTCCGCAACTCCTTTACAAACTGAGAAAGCTGCGAATGAGTCCGACTACTGAAATAAACCTTCAACTTCTTATCCTCCTCCTCTTCCTCCTCACCAGACTCATCTTCACTTGACGAACTAAAGGAACTTTTAACAGCCTTCCTCTTGGACACCCCACTACCTAGTACTTTCTCATCTTCACTCTCATACTCCTCTAGTAAAAACTCCTTGTCACTAATATCCACTGCACCAATTTTCTTTTGCAAACTCTCTCGCCCTTTTTCAACAGTAGACTCTCCAACGCCCATAACCCGAAAATCCTTAATTTCCTCCTCCTCCTTCTTCTTCTTCTTCTTATTATTATGAGCTTTTCCAAACACATACCCGGACTTCTCTTCCTTCTTATTCTCCTCTTTGTTGACAACAAAGTCCCTCATCCAATCAGGTTCGTCATCCGAACCAACCCCACCGTCACCATTCCCTCTACCATCACCACACGCTACTTCCTCTAGTAACCTCCGATCAATCACCCATTGCAAAGCACTGCAAATCACACTCATGGTTTTCCCAGTCCCTGATCCAACACACGTAACCAATCAAATACTCATTTACTAAAAACAGCGTGTGTATCTAAGCCTTAACTTAATCGAATCTAGTAAACATTAATTTCGAGGATAACACGAAAATAGAAGAATGAGTAGTCAGTCAGTCACCACTCACCAGTTGGGCTTTCCAACATAGAGACGCCACCTTGATTGAGAGATTGGTACAAGCTGTTCATGAAATCAATCTGAATCGAATAGGGTTTGAAAGGAAACCCTGGGAATTTTCGCGTTCCATCTTTCGCTTCCATTTTCGACGAGAACAATGCAATTGCAATTTTCAGTTTTTATATCCTATCATTGCTTCCACTCCATGGCGGGAAAATAACTTGCCTCGCTTTTTTATTTATGTTTTTGGGCCTCAAGGCCCAACATAAAGAAGAAAAAAAACAAAAGTCAAGAGAAGCCCAAAAGAAATAAAATAACCTAAAGTTGAGAGGCCCGACATTTAATTGTCGTAGCACATATAAATAAATCCTTTCTCCTACAGCAGCCATAGAGAGCTACAATTAGGGTTTACGATTTGCTGCTACAATGGTACAATTTCTCTTCCTTACGCTCTATCTGGATCTGAGGTAATTTTGATTCTGCGACGATGCTTACGATGTTTGAATTTTGGATGAGTGCAGGGGAAGGGAACGGGGAGTTTTGGTAAGAGAAGGAATAAGACACACACCCTGTGTGTGAGGTGTGGCCGCCGCAGCTTCCACCTCCAGAAGAGTCGCTGCTCCGCGTGCGCTTTCCCCGCCGCGCGCAAGAGGAAATGTAAGTTTTTTTTTTGCGCGTTAGGGTTAAAGGTTGTGTCAAAATTCGGTTTTGAACGGTTTTGAATGGATCCAGATAACTGGAGCGTGAAGGCCATTAGGAGAAAGACCACTGGGACTGGAAGGATGAGGTACTTGCGTCACGTGCCTCGCAGATTCAAGAGCGGCTTCAGAGAGGGTATGTACGGTTTAGCTGCTTCGAAGTTTTAATTTGGAGGGTTTGGTTTGGGGTTTTGTTAATCTGAATTCTTTGAATCAGGTACCGAAGCTGCACCAAGGAAGAGAGGAGCAGCTGCCAGTGCCTAAGCTGGGTCAGTGAGTTAATTATAGGAGTTGAGGTTTCTATGTTGGGGCCAAGCTCTATGGGGTATTTTTCTTTCTGTCGTTTTTGTTTTTATTTAATATGTAGTTGCTTTGTGTTTCGACATGAGGATTGTAAGGAATTTTGATTTTTCAATGAGAGTTTTTGACATCCATATTTTGGCGTATCAATTTTAGCTTGAGTTTTGGTATCGTGGTGCATAATGAACTGTAATTAGCTGGGTTTGTCTTGCATGATCGTTTACATTTTGGTCTAGTTTCTGTGTTTTGGATTAGTTTTTTATCACTTAATATGTGTTAATTACTTGTAACATATATAGCTTGGAAGAAAGATAACACTGATACTAATCACTTCACCGATGTCAAGGCTCGTTAGGTTGTCTTTGCGTATTGTGTGATCATATTGCAGACTAGGGCCTCACTTTGTGGTTGTCTTGGTTGGGGATTCATGTGATGTGGGTTCGGTTCTTGTGAAAAATTCCTTGTGCTCAGAATTAGGCAGTCTTTACGAGCTTCTGGTGTAACATTTTTTTATTTAGATTTCGCCAGCATCACCCTAAGTTTTGTTGTTGTGAATTATTTTTTGTTTTAGTTTGGTTTTGCCTTCTTGGATGATTTGTCTTTAGAGAATTTAGTGTAAATATGCAACGATGTATGAACTAGTTATTTCTTTTGATTGAGAACTTGTTTTGGAAATTCCAGTGGGCTAAATTATTTTACTTTGATGTTTATGAACACCAATTTTTGTAGGTTGCATTGTTCTTGTTTTGAATGCGTTGGTTTCTTGATGTATTGAATATTCTGCGTGCTCCACTTTGTTGTAGTTACATAAATGTGGCTAGAAATTCTTTTAAGAGCGTGTCGAATCATGACAGTTTTGCGGACATATGTTTGACGCTTGTCGTAGTTTATTGTCAACGAAAAAAAGTGTTGCCTTTAAAATTAATTGCAGAGGAACAATTCCATTGTCGTATTAAGTTGTCAAAACATTTGGATATCCTTAGCATGTCACATGTATAGCTCAAAAAAGTCCTGGGCGATTAGTACCTTGGCTGAGTTGAGGCGTTGAGAGTTGTATTATGATTGCGCCTAAGAATTTAAAGAATTAAATGCGAAGAAAATAGTAAGCAATAGTATAATATTAGAAGTATTTGTATAACTTCGATTAGAATGTTAAGTAAAGTTTTTTTAAAAAAAAAAAAATATTGTTATAGTACCAAGTGAAGCTAAATTATGCGTCGTTTGACATTTTATTGATTTGATTTTCTGCTATGCATAAGATGAATACTTATTAAGAAAATTCGGCTGATTTTTTTTTTCTCGATATCGATTGTTTACTAGCTCCGTGGAAATTCGATTGAAGTAAATTCATTTGTTAAGAGTAGTAACTGGTTGCATCTGTCAAAGATAATTTGACACAAATGTTCTCCTAACCAAAATAGAAAATTCTGATAAATGTTCTGTTTGGTAAAGGTAAAATGGATGAGAAAAAAATGGAGAAAGATAGTAATGAAAAGTGGTGAGTCGTTGAATTGAGCAGAAAGAGTGATAAAAAAAATAGTCGATTACAATTTTTTATGTGAAACAGTGACTTCCATCTGTAGTTGTATTGTATATTCGAATAAAAAATATCAATTTTTAGTTTATTTTAAATTTTATTTTCCTTTTTCTTTGTAGTCAAATATTTACTCTTACTATTTATTTATTGGTTAAAATATCATTTTTAGAATTTATAATTTCACTTATTTTGTCTTTTGAATGTTATAGTTTAAAATAGATAATTTTAAGATAATTTTTTTAGTCTTTAAATATATAATTTTTTAATCTTTAATTCCTTTCGGTGATTGTCTTTTTTGTAACATTGTTGTATATTGCTGTAGTAAAGGTCTTCATCTTTTTTAGGGTAAAAAGGTGTCTTAAACAATAAACATCGAAGAGAAGGGTAAAAAAAAAATATAAAGTGTCAAAAGATTTAATTTAAAATAGTTATAATAAAATAAATTCAGTATAAAATATATGAAGTTAAATACTTTTATTATGTCAACTTAGAAGAGATGTTACAAGAAATTAACAATAAGGATTAAAAAGTTGTAAATATAGATTAAAAATATCTATTTTAAATTATAAGAATTAAAAAAATGAAAAATATAAATATATGAACTAAAATAATGTTTTATAGTTAAGAGACTAAATATATTAAAAATAAATAAATATATGAACTAAAAAAAATTTTAAACTAAAGAAAATAAAAGATAAAAACAAAGTAAAATTATACAAATTAAAAATATTATAACGTTTATTTCTATTCATTCTATCTTTTTTTCTCTATTGTCTTCGCTTTATTTTTAACGTATTTATTTTCATATCAAACAAATTCTAAAACAACGGATTCTTTTATGCTAAGAGAATAAATATAATACTAAGTCTTAAAAAAAATGTATGATATATAGAAGGCTAATCATTTACTGATTTGACTAATAACTCCTTTCCAATACTGAGTGTATTGCCCGCTTGAATTATGCGCAGTTTTATTCAACAACGAAAGAAAATCTAATTGGAATTTTTGTCCGAGGTGTACTTTTCAATCAAAAAGAGGAACAAAAGATTAAAACAGAAAAGAGCTTCTGAGTACGCCACTGAGTAATGCTTCTCAAGGATAATATCATACTAAATTATCTTGGTGGTGTTCATAAATCGAATTTTTAATAAATCCCAATTAATCGATCCATTAAAGTGAATTGGTTAGCCAAACTGATATTTATAATCTGAATCAATTTGTTTTTCTAAAAACAATGAATTGGACTTTTTAAAATTAAATCGATTTGATACAGTGCATTTATCCACCATCAAATTTTCCAAAAAAAATCAATCTGATTAACTGTGTAAAAATAAATCATAAGGAACCAATTTTACAAAATAAATCAACTCAGTTTTTTCATCTAATCGGGTTGGATTTCGTGACCTGAATCGGTTTGTATTTTTGCTCACCTTGACAGTATCCGATTTATATAGTATCAAAACTTGGTTTTGTTGCGAAACCAGACTAGGAGCTTTCGGTACTATTATGTACGAATGGTTAAAGACCTCACCAATATTCCATTTAATAAGAGCTTTCTCGCAATCGACGGATCATTTGTGGCAGTCAAGGCTTGACAGCAGAAGGCTTGACAAAATTTTAGCCAATAATGAATCTTAAAAAAATTGCACTAATCTCAAAATTTACAGAATTGCTGCCTCAAAACCCCAACCTTTAATTACAAAACCTGACTCGGTAGATGGAAAAATTGAATGCCTTAAGCTCATTAGTAGGCAAGAAAGAGAAGAATACTGGTTGCAGAGACAAAGGGGCAACCAGGAACAATCACAAGACAAATGCATCTCGGAAGACATAACATCCACAACATTGTTTTTCCGAGCATCATTTGAAAATATTGTAATATTTACTATGTTTTGAACTCACCAAATTTATGCTTTTCTTCATGCAGCTGCTTGAACACATTATCAAGCTCTGAAAATGCTGACGTCAGCAACAACTCCAGGAGGTCAAAAGCCAACTGCTTCAAGCAAACGGATGACTGCGAGAGAGAGAGAGAGAGAAAAAAAAAGAAAAAAAAAAGCATTTACAACTAAATTATGGATAGAGAGAGAGAGACAGAATGATGGGAGTAATTCCTTGCATGAATTAAAAATAACTTCGACACTGACTTCACTGCAGTGTCTGACTTTGTTATTACTGTAATAAACAATGTGTTAGTGCAAGAATTGCTTGAGAAATGATCTCTCAGAGTGATAGAGGCATTATAAACCCCAAAGATTCAAAGAATATCTCACCCTTGTAACGACAAGATTGCTACATCCCAATAACACCTTAGCATTCTAAAGGTTACAAATTCTAATCAATCATAGCTTAATAGACTATTTTCTTAACAAACAAACATTTCAATATATTGATTATACTAGAAAGGCTTTCAATTAGAAAAGCATTTTCATGAAAGTACCAACATAATTTCGGTGAGAATTTGACAGAAAAACTCAGTTACCCAGAATCGCTAGGATAGCAGTTATATAACTACAAGTAGCACAAGCAGCGTAGAAAGATCTAATCGAAGCACCAGTGCCATTAAATATATGATCAAGCTCCAAGTAAGCCAAGTAAATTATATAATTTGGAATGCAATGTTCAGCAGCATAAACATCATGGGATAATATTACAACTTACAACCAACAACAACACCAAGAAATTAATAGATGGAAAAAAGAAGCTTCAGTAGACAACTTCAATTCATTTTAGACAGAAATTACCTGAAGGAAAAAATATAGATCTCTAGCACATTGCTCATACTCCTTCCTACCAACAAGGCCTACAATTGCTGCCGGTGCATGATCTACATGAACAGGGACAGGCAAGCTAAGTTCAATATTTTTTATTTTATAGAATTAGATATAAAACATTGAAGACAACTCTGGAGATGAATGAGAGCAGTATAACAAGTATTACCGATCATGAGCTCATATACAAACTTTGCACGCCGATCTGCCTCTCGTTGCTGTTCATCATCTAACCTTGGAGAAGATACTGGTGTAGGTTGATGGCCGTGAGGTGAATTCTGAGATGGACTAGTGGGTGGTGGTGGTGGTCTTCGATTTGGATGCTTGGTTATGAATATTCCATCAGGCCAGAGTATCTATTAAAGTTGCAGTCACAATAGCTCGTCAGTACAACACCATTTCCATCTTATGCTTATCAGGTTTCTATAATATAAGGAAAAGAAATATGGCATTTCAACAAAGTGAAACAAATTGAAATGATGATGACAGCACCAGAGCATCACAATTTAAAAGAGGGAAAGGGGATCAAAAGATTACTTGCTCAACTCGCTTGACCCCAGAAGCAATCACTGATCCTTTACGGAGAAGTTGAATTTTCTCTATCAACCAGTCATCAAAGGCATCACCCATCCCAAGTTGTAAGACTTGTTTAGCAACCCAAAAAGCCTTTCGCCTGTATTGTACACAAGACATACATTGTAAGAAGATAAATATGATGATTACTAGTGGAACTTAAAATTAAACAACTTATGTTTAAGGCGTAATGAATATTGAATTTTCAAATTACCTGATCCATCCACCATCTTGAACCTGGAAGATAACATCCACCAGATCCAATATGGGTACACTCAAATTTGGTGGCACCCACTGCATTGAACGATTATATTAATCAGAACCAAGATGCCATCATGCATATAATAATCTAAGAACTCCATCAAAAACCAAATACAGTCATTTCTCTGTTACATAACAGCAATGAATGATAAAATTACATCATTCATCTATATCTGTAAAGAATAAAAATCCAGAACTAAGATTGATTGTCTTTATAACCTCTGTTGGAAAGGCATCAGATGTATCTTGGTGCACTTCAGAAACCTCATCTAAAATATCCCTTCCTTTCACTGTCTTCTGCAAGTTATTGGGAGAAGGTGCACTCTTCCTTGCTAGAATATCTGTATTGCTGCCAGAATTTTCATATGCCTTTCTAGGTTCATTTGTATTCTTTTTTGGTAGAGAAAGAGGCAAGCTGTTTACTTTTGACCTCAATCCATCAGCCTCAACATTATTTCTTGCTCGCAAAACAGCCTCTTTACTTTCTGAACTACAATTTTCCTTTCGAAAGGGAACAGGGTCACTTGCAGGTGCGGAGAAGTTGGACGCACTTTTGGTCTTCTCAAATGGCTTGGCACCAAGGCCAACTAGCATAGTTTTCAACAAAGAATAAATGCAAGACATGTCAGGAAAGGGAGATAATAAAATAATTTATGCTCAACATCCTTCATCAACCATGACTCACCTGATAATGTTTCCATGATAGAAAAAGAATTTGAGAATATGTATGTCTGCAATAGATAACATATATAACAATAAGATATAAGACAAAAAAATTGACAACACAGAAGGGAGGACACTGTTGGACAGGAAATCAGACCTGAGAATCCACGCTGAGAAAGTCCCATACTTCAATTGATTCCGAAACAGTTGGTAGTTGCATAAGTTTCTGAGGGACAATAAGCCATGCGTCAACAAAATATTGGATGAATCTTCGAAAAGCATATACACAATACTTAAAACAATGCTACATGATAGATGCAAAAGGAAGTATTATATCAAAATAGAGGTACACTCATAACCAACATCTATCCTGCCGGTAATAGAATATTGATGATCCCAGTTCAATTACAGTACCAAAAGCAGATAATTTATTCCTCTACAGAAAAAACAAAAGTTAATTAAGAATGGATGTTGAAAAATCATTAATAATGCAAGCTACCAATTAGCCAAAGAAACAATTAGGTATCAGGAAATGATGTCCTGAGCAATAATCTAGACACAACAGAAATGGACAAGCCATACAAAATTTATCAAAAAAATGTGTTCTAATGCTCACTTATTTGGTGGTGGGAGGAAACCAGAGAAATGTGAGAGATTGATACAATAGTAATAATGATAACAAAAAAAAGTCTGTGAAGTTGACCTTCAAATATTTATCCAGTAATTCGCACCGCTCTTGAATGACTGGTACATCTAAACCAGTTGAAAGAAAATGTTTTGGTGGCAAATGAAGATTATACTCGGGAAACTCTTTCAGGCGTCGATGTAGCTCTTCAAAATGACGAAACCTTAAAACAAACAATATTAGCAAAACGAGAAAAGAAAGAAGGAAAGAAAAAAGAATACATGAAAACAGTCAGATTGATAAATTTGATTAGAAACATCAATATAAGACATAGCAAAAGCCTTAGCACCTTCTTTTAATTGACCAACTGTTATTATTTACATCTGTAACGGATATGGAGTAAACAGCAAAGGTTTTTGAGCCACTCTTCACAATATTTGCACCTAAGACCTGCATCAGTAAATTAGCTTACATTTTTTCATATACAAACATATCAGTATATGAACTTGTTCATCATTAATTAAAGGAGCTACATATCACCGTCATAAGTACCTCACATCTCAACTTGTAAAAAGAATCTACGACAGAGGAACTTTTTAGGGGATTAACAGACAAACTACAAGATTCTGATTTAGAATTAGAGTATGGGGAAGAGGAGGCAGCTGCTCCACTATATAGTCTACCCAAACTTTCCATATCAGCATCATCACTGGACTCCTCAGAATTTATATGCGACTTTGAAGATTTAAGTATGTCTTGACCATCTCCAGATAAAAAACTTGTTCTCTCAACTTCCTGCCACGTTTGTATTTTATGACCACCTGGCCAAGACCTTTTACTGCCAGAATGAACTCTGGATAATCTTGGATAGCGAGAATGGCTCTTATTCCTTTTCTTTGTACTGTGATTGTCAAAATTTTCAAGTGGGTGATGAACATAAGAAACTGCCTGCTTTCTATTACTTCTTCCATCCCAAACCTTAGTGACAGGGGAATCAAGACCAGTGACACAACTACTTTCATCATCTTCAGAAGTATAAGAAGTACTGCTCTCTGAATCACTCATCTGCCCATAAATGTGGCTGTGCTCAGCATCTTTATATGAGGTAACTGAAGTTGATCCATTCTTGTCTGCATGAATAGATGTATTTTCAACAGAGAGTTGACTGCTTAGCCCAGAATTAATTTGGCCTCCCTTGGAGGGAATAAGCTTTGAGTTAGTATCTCTTTCTATGGGTCCAGATATTGCATTTATATGATCTACCTTTGGCAGTTTTCCTACAACAGGAGGCTGCGAAAGATGCTCATTTGGCTGGTTCTCACCATCCTTTTTCTTGTAATTTTTCCCTTTAGTCCACACGTTCTCAAAATGTTCTGGAGCAAGAGCTTGGGTCTTTCGGCGAGAGATGACATCTAAAATATCTCCCCACTCTCCTCCTGAGCGATTTCGTTGAATACCCTGGTCATCATTAGTTTGGGAGTTTGCAGGCATTGAGTTCCATGTCCGGGAAGATCGAGCATCAACTGAAAGCAACGGATCTTTAGCAATATTACCATGGGCATTATTTTGTGCAGACAACTCCACATTTCTGGGTTGACCATTTCTTAGCTGCACAAGCTCGACACCAGTAACAGAAGGATCTGAACTCTTGGAGAAATAGTCAGATGGAGTCTGTAACTCATCTGCTTTATTGTGAGATGCCTCTTGAGCTGCGGCAACCCCATTGCTAACCTTGGTCTTGTTAATTACCACGGATTCAATTCTTTCATTAATAAACCTGTCAACAAAAATATGGGAGAATGAAAACAATAACATACATCAAGAATGATACAAAAACAAAAGAAAATATATACCTTGGATTTGCCAAGTTTATTACAGGTCGTATTACAGCACATGCAAGAAGCTCCCTGACGGCATATCGAAAGAAAGAACACTGCAAATCCTCAGACTTGAAAGTAACATGCATAAGACCAGTCATCAGATGCTGCAAAACCTGCAAGTTAAGAATACAGGCAGCATTATAACCCAAAATTAAAAAATACATGAAAATAATATGGCCCATGGATGAAAACAAAATACACCATTTACTCAATAAATGCATATAAAACAAGAAAGTAAAAAAACCTTATGCTCAGCTTCAGCAGAAAATAAAGCAGGATGCAATTTGTTCTCAGCAGCCAATACAACTTTTAGTTCCATGTCTCGACTTTCAATTGTTAATGAACCTGTATGTTGTTTCTCAATCTTTGAGTGGGCAGCACGAAACAGCTCCAAATGTGTGCAAATGAGATGAATAAGATCCCTGGCCAAAAAAAAAAAGTTAACTCCCAATCAATCAAATTACAATCTGAGATTAAGATGAATCACAAACAAAAATGACGCTAAGAACCTTATTAAAAAATCTATCAAATTGATGTTTCTCATGCGTCCAGAAATTTCCCCAAGAACACCATTAATTATTTGCACTAACTCCTCAGGGCCCTCTTTGTCTGGAGTTAAGCGAGAATACCAAAGATCTGTCACCCACTCGGAAATTAAATGTCTCGTGAAGTGATCAATTGCATCCTCAACAACAGGAGAATTCACTTTTGTTCTCCACTCAAACTTTGCAATAACTTTAGGATTTTCAATAGGCTTCTTTGAAGACTGGAGACTGGTGGAGCCTGGTTTATTGTTGTATGCTGCAGCTTTTCTCTTCATCTCAAAATCTAGTGATAAATAGCGGAGAATAATAATTAAGGAGGCTGCAGCTGGCAAATTGACCCAGACTGAGGAGCTTGTCACTGAAATGAAAGAAAAAGAAATTAAACCAAAAACCAAGAGCAAAAAACAACATGAAGCTAGAAATTAAAGAGTGTGAACCTCTTAATATGCACAGTTTTCTAGGTGTTGAGGAATAATGCAATTTCTTGGAGACATGAACCAGTATCAACAAAATTTATCATTACCAAATAACCACAAGAGCAGTAGGATCGTCCGAGGAACCAACCCTAGCTGATAAATGTGATGAAACTCAACTAAACTGTTGGGTAGCTATCGTTTCACTGAAAGACAATACTTTAGTAATTTTGCCAAAGACTTTATTCATTCGTAATTTAGATAAAATGTCAAAGCTTTTGAATGAAACAAAAATCTATTATTGTGTCCCTCTCTCCTTAAAAAAATGACCCAAAAAGATCACAAGATTATTATTTATTAAGCTTCCACTGGTATTAAATGTTCAAATGTAATTAGGGTTCTGTTATTCTTATCTCGCTTAAACAAAATCAAACACAAAAAATGCACAAGGAGGAGATATCTCAAAAAAACCAGATCATAAATTTCAGTACATGCCAAATTTCCCTTTAGTTGTCCTCAATTTTTGAGTTTCTATCTAGTACATGCCAGATTCTTGCTAGAATGATAACTAACCCAAATTCTTTTCAACATTTCATGCTTGAATAAACCATCAATTTGATCCTCAAAGTTTCAGCCTCTCTCCTTAGTCCCTAAAGTAAGAAAGCTATATAAGTAATCCCACAAGTATTGAATATCCATTAATTTAGTATTGAAATTGATACGTTTTACCAATGTTAAGGGCCCAATTTAAAGAGTTTTCCAATATTTGGCGACTAATTAGCATGGTTTCTAATACTTTGAGGATTACTTAAATTATTTTTACTATAGAGGTCATTTATGAGAGAGAGTAATACTTTAAGGATTGAAATTATTGGTTTGTTATTTCAGGCTTAAATAATGGATCACTTAGGTTAGTTTGGTATCACATCACCAACAAAAACAAAATGTCAAGTAGAAAACTAAAAGTAAACAAAAGAAAACAGCAGCAAGTAGCAACTCTTTGATCGTGAAAAATGTAGCTATACAATCAGAATAACTAAAACATCAGTTTGTACTAAAAATTATTAGCTGAACATCCACGTCCCTAATTTGACAAGAAATCTATATTTTTCTTACTTTAAGCAATAAGAGAGAAAAGTGGATTCCACCAGAACTTTTTCCACTGAAAATCTTGCAATATCCTTTCTACATAACAGGTCCAAACGACGTCGTCTTCTCTTAAAACTGATGAACAAACGATCCTATGTCCTAAATTCAACAGCATTGTTAAATTAATTTTTCCAGATTAAGACGCAATAGATGCTAAACGCCATGTGAATTTGTTCCTACCATTCTTCGCACAGCAAGTAACGCAATAATGAGTAATGACTGTGATGCCATTAAAAGCCAGAGCGCGTGATTTCCAAAACAACGGAAAAAAAAAAAGAAAAAAAAAAGGCTGCTGAAACTAAACAAGCAAAACGCAGCGAAAGCATACACAAACAAACGCTCTGAATTGAAGTTGATCGAACAAAACAGAAACGCGCGGAGGAGCGATTAAGGAGCGAAATGAAGTGAAGCATAAAAGAAACGAAAGTGAAACTCACAGGACATGATATACGAGAGTCCGACGACGCATACGACGAGGATGACGATCCGTTTCTTGGCTTCCTCGACGAGGTCTCTCACCGTGACCTGGTTCGGCTTCGGCATGTTCATCTAAAAAATTCTGAGAATCGCAGCGCAATTCGAAATAGCGAGACTCGATTCAAATGAATCCCGGCCTCATCGCCGGCGAGGTGGCGAAATAGGAACGGAGATTCGGTTGAAGGTGGCGACGAATTCAGGAGAGAGAAGTTGAATCGGCGAACGGCGTTGGGCGTTAGGTTTTTGGCTTGCGTTTGCCGGTGATGGCGTGTGTGCTTGATTTTCTCACTTTGTGTGTCAGTTTTCGCTTCAACTTTCTCTCCGTCTGATATTGACGTGGGATTTCTTTCTTTTCTACTGTACTTCCATCTATGGCTATGCTATTGCAATTTCCATTTCCTCTCTGCTTAACATTTCTCTTTCTTTATTCATTTATTTATTTAAGATAGGCTTCCACAGAGTACACACTATTAAATCATCACGTTTCTTTTTTCATATTTTTATTTTAAAACAACAAATTTAAAGTTGACAAAATAATTGAATAAACAGTTACTTAATTATTCTACATGTTTAAATAAACTCTTTTATAAGTATTTTTAAAAGAGAAAAATCAAAAAATTAAAAAATAAGTCTTTTTACAAATTATGATTAACTTATGTGTAAATTAAAAATAAAATAACTTTTACAATTTATTTATATATAATCAAATATTAATTTATACATAAACTTTTTTTTTATATAATTTAGTATAAGTACAAAATATCTTTTTCTTTCTTTTAAGATTAGCTTAAAAAAATATTAAATAAATTTCTCAAAATACAAATGATATAAGTCTAAAATTCAAAAACACATAAGTTAGATGATAATATTAATATATATTTAGAAATTAAAGTAATAATAAAAAAATTAAATTTAAATACTTGTTTTATATATTTTCTAAATTTTACGAATTAATGTGATAATTTCTTTTAATTTTACGGACTAAAGATCCCTTATTCCAATATGATTGTAGTAGTTGGATTTTACAATTAGGAGAGATATACTATTTTAACAATTTTGAAAAAGGTAATAGGAAAATAAAAGTTTTTGCATTCGATAAAAGGACGTAAATAATACGTTTATAATTAAAAAAAATTCTAAGAATGTTAGTTTAAAATAAAATTTCCTTACTTTCCTAAGTGAGAATAATTTTTTCCATATTCTGATTAACCATTAAATATTACTAAATTTATTCATAGTAATCATTAATTGTACTTTATAAATTCTTTTAACAATATTATTGCTACAAATTGTATTTCCGAGAAAATGGTTTGATTAACAGTAAAATGTTCAACCAATGGCTGGCCTCTAACTTGGTTTGAAGTATGAAAGGTCATGCAATGCAGATTGGGAGCTGGTGACATTTCGTTGCTACTCGTACTTAACTTTCTTTAGTTTTTTTTCAAATCAAGTGGTCGCTCTTTCTTTTATTTATTCTTTTACAAAATCATTAGGTTGTTTAGTTCTATCTGCTGGTGCTAGATTAAAAGTCTACGAACAGAGTCCTACATTTAGTTTTTATTTTTATCTATACTTATTAATAAAGGAGATTGATGATGGGGAAATAGTAGCACAATAACAATACAGAGCAAATTCAAACAGTTATTGCAACGGAAATAAATTCCCCAAACTTATAAAAATCTATGAGGAGCAACAACCAATGAACAACAATAATAAATCACCAAAAATCACACATAGAGACACCAAGATTTTGAACGTGAAAAATCCCTCAAAGTAAGGGTAAAAATCACGAGTTGTCCAGACCAAAGAAATAGTTCCACTATGATCAACAAAGAGGACAAAAGAGTCTCAGTCTACTGCACAAAATAGTGCTAACACCCAGCCAAACAACAAAGCAATAAAGCTTACAAATAGAGAACAAAAAAGATGAAAAACTCCAAATACACAATTACAGTGCGAACTGAATATCTCCCTACTCAGACCTCGTTTCAACGATCCAACCGGTCAAAATGAAGAACCGGATGTCACGAACTTGCTGTCCAATTTCCAGTCCGATCCAACGGTGAACGAATCTGCAGTATCGATTTTACTGTCGTAGCCCTGTAGAAAATCGAGAATGACTTTCTCTCTTCCTCTCCCTCAAAGTGTTGGTGCTCTAAGTGACTTCTGACTTTTCCTCTTTTTTCACTCTTATGCTTCAGACCCTCTCTTCACTTAATTAAGTGAGACATCAAGTGAGCTTCTTAATTTTGGGTCTTTTTTCCACATAGGAAGGGAGCCCAATACCCAACAAATCTCTCCCTCACAACTATGTGGAGATAACCGCCAAACTGGCGATCTCATAACAAATTTCAAATTTTTCTCTTGGCAATGCTTTAGTCATCATATCAGCCCCATTATCATCAGTATGAATTTTAGCCAACTCCAACAGCTTAGCATCCAAAGCATCACGTATCAAATGATACCTTACATCAATATGTTTGGACCTAGAATGAAAAGTTGGATTCTTGCCAAGATGGATAGCACTCTGACTATCAACAAATAAAAGATATTTTTCCTGCACAAAACCAAGCTCCTGCAAGAATTTCTTCAACCATAGCAACTCCTTGCATGCTTCAGTAATGGCAATGAACTTCACCTCTATAGTGGACAATGCTACACACTTTTGCAGCCTTGATTGCCAAGCCACAGCTCCCCCTGCAAACTTAATCAAATAGCCCGAAGTGGACTTTCTGGAATCAACATCTCCAGCCATATCTGAGTCTGAGTAACCCACCAAAGTAGGCTTATCCCCTCTAAAACAAAGCTTCATATCAACAGTACCATGAAGATACCTCAGAATCCATTTCACAGCATTCCAATGCTCTCTACCTGGGTTTGACAAAAATCTATTGACTGTACCAACAGCATGTGCAATATCTGGTCTAGTACACACCATTTCATACATCAAACTACCCACTGCAGATGCATAAGGAACTCTCTCCATGTCTAATTTCTCATCTTCATTAGAAGGACTCTGTTTAACACTCAATTTAAAATGAGTAGCAAGAGGAGTGCTCACAGCCTTAGCATTTTCCATCTGGAATCTCTACAACACCCTTTTAATATATTGTTCCTGTGATAGCCAAAGCTTCCCTTTCTCTTTGTCACGAATGATTCTTATACCAAGAATCTGTTTAGCAGCTCCTATGTCTTTCATGGCAAATGACTCGCCCAATTGCTTCTTTAACCTGTTAATCCTGGAAACATATTTCCCAACAATAAGCATGTCATCAACATACAATAACAGGATAATAAAGTCATCATCAGAAAACTTTTTAACAAAGACACAATGATCAGAAGTAGTCTTCTTGTAGCCTTGCTCACACATAAAAGACTCAAACTTCTTATACCACTATCTTGGAGCCTGCTTCAGACTGTATAGACTTTTTCTCAACCTACATACACAGTATTCCTTGCCTTTAACCTGAAATCCATCAGGTTGTTTCATATAAATCTCTTCCTCCAAATCACCATGAAGGAAAGCAGTTTTCACATCTATTTGTTTTACCTCTAAATCAAAAGTATCTGCCAAACTCAAAACTGCTCTAATGGATGTCATTGTCATAAGTGTGATTATCATACAAGGATTTCATCTCATCTTGCATTGCATCCAACCACTGTTGCTTTTCTTCACTTTCCAAAGCCTCTTCAAAACATTCAGGTTCTCCACCATCAATCAAGGTCACATACTCATCAGAAGAATACCTTGTTGAAGGTTGTCTCTGTCTATTAGACCTCCTAAGTTGAACTTGATGTGGTTCAGGTGCATCATCAATATTCTCATCATGAGACATTTCATGCTCCTCTTGGTCATCATCAATAGGAACATCTAATCCACCTCCAAGTTGTTGATCATCAACATCATCATGTTGTTCACCAGGTTGAACACTACCATCAACATTATCCAAATTGTGAATAGGTAACCGCATAGGATCAATATCAGTCAAATTTCTATCTTTCTCGGGTGTAGTCTTTTCCACCTTATCAATGTCTTCAATGGTTTGGTCTTCCATGAACTGTACATCACGGCTTCTAACAAGCTTCTTCTCAACAGGATCATAAAACCTGTAGCCAAATTCATCCTCACCATAACCAATTAAGATGCACTGCCTTGTCTTTGCATCCAACTTGGATCTTTCATCCCTTGGAATATGGACAAATGCCTTGCAAACAAAGACACGTAAATGATCATAGCTCGCATTCTTGCCAAACCAAATTTTTTCTGGCACCTCACTGTTAAGAATAACAGTAGGAGTGAGATTAATAACATGCACCACCGTGTATAGTGCCTCACCCAAAAAATGCTTGGGTAATTTAGCATCTGAGAGCATATATCTCACCCTCTCAAGTAATGTCCTATTCATCCTTTCCACTAAACCATTCAACTGAGGAGTTTTAGGAGGAGTCTTCTCATGTGCAATACCATGTTGCTTGCAATAAACATCAAAGGGTCCACAATACTCACTACCATTGTCAGTACGAATGTGTTTCAGCTTCTTCCCTGACTGTCTTTCAACCAAGGCATGAAATTGTTTGAACCTCTCCAACACCTGATCTTTTCTCTGCAAAGCATAGACCCATAGTTTCCTGGAACAATCATCAATAAAGGTAACAAAGTAAAGTGCACCACTAAAGGATTTCACCTTCAATGGACCACAAACATCAGAATGTACCAATTGCAACAACTCTGACTTCCTTGAGGGAAGATGCTTCTTGAAGGATACTATGGTTTGCTTGCCAGCCATGCAATGAGAACATTTCTCCAATTCTGCACTCTTCAACCCTTGAAGAACATCCTTTTTAGCTAAGCAATTCAATCCCTTTTCACTGATATGACTAAGCCTTCGGTGCCACAAAGATGCCTCCATATCCATGGCATTCACACTGTCTTTAGCAACCAAAGCTTTTGTCCAATACAATTTAGAATTTTTCTCCCCTCTAGCCACAACCAAGTTACCTTTGGTGAGTTTCCACTTTCCAGAACCAAAGTGGTTATCATAACCACCATCATCAAATATTTGCACAGAGATCAAATTAAAACGGACATCAGGAGCATGTTTGACTCCTCTAAGCAACAACTGCATTCCCATGTTGGTTTACAGGCAAACATCACCAACACCAATCACTTTAGACACACCATCATTACCCATCTTCAACACTCCAAAATCACCAGAAGTGTAAGATGTGAAGAACTCCTTCCTTGGTGTAACATGCAGTGTAGCACCACTATCAACAATCCACATGCTCTCATTTGATACAAGATTAACTGACCCATGGTCACTGAGAATAACAAGATCACCACAAGTAGCAGTAGCAACACGATCATCATCATCATGATCTTTTTCTTTCTTCTTACCCTTCTTGCCTTTATTCTC